CCAGCTGCGCCTGCTAGGCCACGGGCGGCACAACAGGGGCAGCCAGGTCCACTGCAAAGGGCACAATCAACTGTACCGGGCCGCCAGTGGTGGCGGACACCGGGAGCAGGGATGAAGCAGGCGCAGAAGTCTGCGGCTCGTGGCCAGCAGCTAGTGGCCCAACGGGAGCGGGAGCCGGGAGTGCGGCGTCAGTCTTTGTCGTGGCTTCAAGTGGAGCTTGGGGAGCAGTTGGCGCAGACGGGGCGGACCGCTCAGCAGCAGCAGGGGCCGCAAACTGAGTGCCAGTTGTGGCAAGGGGAGCCGCGGGTTCGGGGCGAGGAGGCTTTTCAGCGGAAGTTGTTGAGGGCTTCGGAGTCAGAGGCACCGGGGGCTTCGTCGCTGTGGTCGCCTTTCCGGCTCAGACTGAGGCTTGGCGACCACTGCCGACCAGGCGCCAACGCGCTCTGGCGACGGCTCGGGAGCTCCAGCAATCACCATCGCGAGGCCGGGCAGCGCGGGAAGAGAGGAGGCAGGCGGTTAGCGGAACAGGTGGAGGGCCGGAGAACGGGTTTCAGGCTGCGGGACGTCGGGCTTTAATTGCTCTGGTTGCTGCCAATGAGGAAGGGGAGAGAAATGACCCCTCTTATACCACGGAAGCAAAGCCAGAGAGTGAAAATGAAGATGAAGGGGATGGAGCAGAGGCAACAAGAGTAGGGACGGAGAGGAGAATACCTGGGACAGCCAATTTACCCACAGCGGGATCAGAGGGGCGTGCAGGGCCATTGGATGCTGATCGAACGGATGAGAATCCAACTCGGCAGCAATCAACGACATCGGGTCGTGCACGCAGACATCGGACCGCATCCCTTCACCCTGTGTCAGGATTGGCCCCGCACCGCCCCCGCTATTTTCGCCAGTGGAGCTGGCGGAGATGGGGGATAAATTCGCTGACATCGCGAATCGGGACATCTCCGCTCTCTGCGACAGTCGCCAACCGCCGCTGTCGAGACGATTACCGCCAAACCTGAGCTAGTTATTTTCGCTGGCACTCTTGACCCCGCTACACCACCTCTCGCGAAACCCTGACTCCGAAGCGGGTTGGAAACTGCTTCTTTTCCTCCCGCGTCTGACCCTTCGCGAGGCTTCGCCAAAACACCCGAATTGGCCGCAAATCAAGGCCCGTCTTCGGGCTTTCCAGCGTGGCGAGTGGTCGCAGCTCTACCAGGATGCGGTAAACGCGGTCAACGCCCCTCCGCCCCCACGCCACCGACCCGATGTGACAGGTGTACTGAGCAGAGCCGAGGGATTGGCAAAATGTGGCAGTCTGCGCAGAGCCGTGCTGGCGCTCGAGTCAACACCCGTCTGTACACCGAGTCCAGAAATCCTGGACGAGCTCCGACATAAGCATCCACCAGCGGGCGATGAACCGCTGACCTGGCAAGCAGCCGGCACTCAGCCCCTGGGCATTTCCCATGCGGAATTTGCGAAGCTCCTCGGGCGATGCGAGAATGGTGTCGGTGCCGGACCTTCGGGTACAACATTTGAGCACCTGCGAGATGCTGCAATATCCAACGCATCCGTCAGCACCCATCTGCATGCCTTGGTTAATACAATTCTGGGAGGAAATCTCCCAGACTCGGTGGCGGACCTGCTCACAGCGTCTCGACTCATAGCCCTGGCCAAACCTGGGGGCGGGGCCCGACCAATCGCAATAGGCGAATGCCTGATGCGGCTGGCTGCCAAGGCTGCGCTCTTGGTCATGGGGGATGCTGCACGTGAATACTTCCTACCCCTACAGTACGGCGTGGCAGTGCCGGGTGGAGCGGAAGCAATAATTCATGCAACCCGAACGTACGTGGATGGCCACCCGAACAGCCTGGTACTGCAAGCCGACATCGCGATAGCTTTCAACAGCATTTCGCGACAGGCTATCGCCGTTGCGTTACAAGAACCCAGACTTTCGCCACTACTACCGCTGGTCAAACCGACTTACGGTAACCCGTCGCAGCTGCATCTGGATGCAAATTTTACAAGCGACCCCTTGCAAAGTGAACGAGGCGTTCGCCAGGGCGACCCAGTGGGCCCTCTCCTGTTCGCTGCGGGGATTCACCCCACACTTCGCGACACTGCAGCAGCGCACCCTGATGTACTTTGTTTAGCGTATGCGGACGACGTGACCTTCGTAGGGGAAAAACGTGCAACTGTAGCTGCCTTCACCCACTTCACCTCAAAGCTGGAAATCCTGGGCCTGAAGCACAGCCCGCAGAAGTGCACGGCATGGAGCGCACGCACGTGCGACTCAACAGAGCTGCCGCGAGCAGTCCCTTTCTGCAAGGACGGCGTCCGGCTCTTGGGAAGTTTCATCGGTGCAGCAGACGGGGCATCTACTTTCCTGGCAGGGCAATTGGGGGAGATGGCCAAGCCCTTGCCACTCATCGAGCGGGCGGATCCGCAGGTCGCTTCGCTGCTGATCACGCGCTGCATCTCCCGGCGCGTGGCGTACCTCACACGGACGACCCCCCTCAATCTCGTCTCCCGGGACACTTGGACGCAGTGGGGCCGCGATCTCTTGATGACATTGCTTACCTCGTGCAATATCCGAGCTCCAGCGGGTAGAGCGGAACAGTCGCGTGTGTGGGCTCAAGCAACCCTTCCTCCGTCTCTTGGGGGTGTAGGGATTACAGACCCTCTCATCGAGGGCGTATACGGATTCGTTGCAAGTTTCACGCAGGCGGCGCAGCTCTTCTCCATGCTCACTCTGTCCCCAGATTCTGCCCTGTCGCACGCAGTCGGCCATATGCTCCTGCCGAGAGACGAGAGCACTCCACTCCACTCCTGGCTCACTGAGTGCGAGACCACCCTGCCTTCGGACGTGCGTGAACTGTTGGAACGAGAGCGTCTGAAACGGACGGATGTGAAGCTGCAGCACGCCCTCGCCCTCCAAGTCCACGGCAGTCGCTACGCGGTGCAGGTTCAGGAAACGAGGAAGATGCCGCTGAATCCGTTTGCAGGCCACACGCAGCGGATGTTCTCCTTGACGGGATACGGTACTGGGGATTGGTTGACAGCGATACCAATAGCCCCGAATAGGCGCATTGGACCGGTCCACTTCGCCAACGCCGTCAGATTTCGGCTCGGCTTGCCCTTCTCCACTCCCAAAAACTGTGACTGCGCGGACCACACAGCGATCATCGACCCCCGCCTCCCAAATCACCTCCTACGATGCGGCACCGGCAAGCACCGCATCAATACTCACAACGAGGTCTGTGACGCCTGCATCAGCATGGCCCAAGATGCGGGATTCATAGTCCACAGTGAGTCGGCGGCCCATTGCCCCATCAAAGAGCAGACGGCCGACTTCACCATGACCGACAGGAGCAGCGGGGCAGTATGGGTGTGTGATGTGACTGTGACGGACCCTATCAGCATACGGGACCCGGAGGCACAGAAAGGAAGGGGATGGGCGGCAAGAGAGCAGGCAGACAAAAAGATTGGGCACTATGCAAGTAGACCTGAGACGGTTGGTTTCTTCCCATTGGCGGTGGAGACCTATGGCTGCCCTTGTGCAGAGGTCCCCGTCTTCCTGAAACTCCTGGCAGACACGGCGGCTCGGCGCCACTTCAACGCCGATTCTAACTCCTACTACGCCGCTAAGTTTCTGCATCAGTTCAAGCAGCGGTGGTCGGTTGCACTTCAGAGAGCACAGTCAGTGGGGTTGCTCATGAAGTTGGGTGAGGCGGCAGCCGCTGAGAACCCCCCGGTCGGGGGTATCGGCCAAGAACTACACCTAGGAGATTTCTTTGCTGTTTTGGAGCCACTTGTGGAACTGTAGATGGGATAGGTTTTGACTTGCATGCTTACCAAACCTGTACGTGTGTACCTTTTGGCCATATCAATATACGGACCATTAGAGAGAGAGAGAGAGAGAGAGAGAGAGAGAGAGAGAGAGAGAGAGAGAGAGAGAGAGAGAGAGAGAGCATGGGTAGTCATGGGTAGTCACTCACATGTTTGTTTCTGTTGTGTGATAACTATACTCGTTGTACGGCATGTTACATCAATGGAGGACCGTTTGAGAGAGAGAGAGAGAGAGAGAGAGAGAGAGAGAGAGAGAGAGAGAGAGAGAGAGAGAGAGAGAGAGGGACTAGGGAACTAGCCCTTAGATTTCAGCAGCATCCCTCTCTTCTCCTATGGGTAGCCTAGTTGTAGGAGCAGCTAGGCCACTCTCTCTCTCTAAGTGTAGCCCAGCCCCACAGCCTATAGTGAGTACAGTTCCTTTCTTAAGCTCACAATATGCAAATTGATCCTCATTAGTTGCTGGCAAGTCATCTCCCCAACCCAGCGGCTCGCGCCGGCCGCCTTCGGCGGCCAGCGCTCGACAGCGCGGCCTTCGGCCGCGCGTTAGTGATGGCAAGGAGTAGGGGACCAAGCTCTATAACAACAAAGTTCACAACGCTTAAAATGCAACGCCGGCACAAGTACCCACCACAACACCCCCTGGCGTAACCACAACACGCATGGGGAAGCCCAAGCCCAGGACAAGCACCACCAAGGCCGGGAAGGGGAAAGCAGAGCCTAATCGGCGAGGATCAAAGCCAGCCGTCCGTCCAACCAGCACAACAGCGCCGCGGCGGCTGGTACAAGGTCGAGGGGGACACGACGGACAGAAGAGGCCAACCGCCTCATTGCGGAAGGCCCGGGACCAGAACCCACCCCCGGGGAGCCTGTCTCGAGGCCCATCTGCGGGAGGCTCCCCATCATCCGCCGCGCCGCCGTCACCACAACGGCCCGCTGCCTCTTCGACAAAGGCGGGCTGGCAACACGCCCACGTAACAGCCCTGAATGCAGCTGATCAAGCACCGACGCCAGTAGCTCCAGGACAGTCCCCACGGTCGCAACGCGCTGCTCGACGCGACGAAGCCGCTCAACAGGCGGACACTCCTCCCACCGACTTCAGGGCTCATCGGGAGCGGCAGCAGAGGCAGCAGGTGCGGCAACCGGCTGGGGAGTCGACAACACCTCACATGGTATTGGGATCTCACGCCCCCCAAGAAACAACTGTGGGAGCGCGCTCGGGGGGAGAGCAGGCGGTGCTGTTGGAGCGGGCAGAACAACCGCTGAGGCAGAGGGAGCTGACGGCAACGGGGAAGAAGAAGGCGGAGGAGCTGCCTGCAGAACAGACGGGGACTGTGGCTAGAGTGGCGACGACGAAGGTTGCGACGGCGGCGACTGAGCCTGCAGAAGAAGATGGGACGGCGGAGGGGAGGACTGTGGCACCAACGATCGCGGAGAACGCGGGAGAGGCGGAGGAAGGAGGGACTGACGGTGAGTACGGCGGAACGACTGCTGCTGACGCGGTCGCAGAAACGCATGAGTGCGCCCAGGGGGGGAGTGATACACCGGCTGGTGCGAGCCACCACGGCGACCATGCCGAGGAGGCCCACCACGCCGGCTGCGAGACGACTGGGAAGAGGATCCGCGTCCAGCCAGCACCGCGAAGGCTCGGAAGAGCCTGGCACCTGGTCCCCCGGGGCCCCTCCGGGGATGGCATCTGCAAGAGCACCGTCAGCCATCAGGGAGTACGAGCAGCAGGGAGACCGCAAGGGGTGGAGGCGGGGGCGAACCTCAAACCGAACAGACTGCGACTCGACCACAACCACAGGCACGAGTAACAGCAGCCGAGAACGACGCCCAGCCAGAAACGGAAGGCAGGGCGACTCGAAGCCGCGCGAGAGGAGGTAGAATCGCCTGGGGACCGCCGAAAGGCGGACGATCGACCGTGAGGCTAGCACCATGGATGCCGGTGGGACGAGCGAGCGCAACCCACGGAGGGCAAGGAGGGAACAACGGCGCAGGCAGGGGAAGAGCGCGAGGAGACCAAGGCAAGCATCGGGGAGGAAGAGGGGGGAGAGGGCCCGACGTGGGCGGAGAGCCAACACTGGTTAGATCCGGGACGTGGCGGGAGCGACACAACCGTCCGGAGATTGAGCACGAGGTGGCGAATGAGGAGGGAAGCACTGACAACAACGACAGCGGGAGTGAATTTAATCCTGACAACGAGCACGTTTCAGAGGAACTCTCACAGTACGAGGGGGAGAGTGAAGAAAGAATTGCCACACGGGGTAGGGCAAGTTTTGGAGATGGCGGGAGAGGCAACAATGAGGAACTAGTAGATGGCGCGGGACGGGCACCACAGCCGGAGCCAAGCATACGTCAACCATCTGACCTGGCACGGGACGCTGGACTATGGCAACAGGTGGCATCATGGGACACGACAAAGCTCCAGCAGAGCAATCAACCCTTCCTAGTCCGACGGCTGCCACCTAAGCTATTGGAGAGCTACACCCAATGTTTACTGACCCCGCTTCTGAGAGCGACGGAATATCCCGACTGTCCAGGAGGTTGGAAACTGTTGCTGTTCCTGCCGAGGCTAACCCTGCGACCTTTGCCGGAGCTAGTGGAGGGGACTCGGTGGGCGGAAATCGAGCACAGGCTACACCAATTCAGGCTCGGCAGGTGGGACTTGCTCTACACCGAGGCCTGTGTCATCCCCGACACAGGAGAACCGTTACGACATCAGCCTGACGATGTGGGCCTGTGTGCTAGAGCAGAAGGGCTCGTAAAAAAAGGGAACATTTCGAAAGCCGTTGCAGCGTTATGCGTAACACCACTGGCGGACACATCGCCAGAGACCCTCGCAGCACTACGAGCGAAACACCCAACCGCGGAAACGCCAACCCCTGCCGTGGTTACAGGGTACGCCACTGCCTCACTCAGCATCAGCCATGACGACCTCCGCGATCTGCTGGCGAAATGCCCGAATGGAGTGGGAGCAGGCCCATCAGGCACCTGCTTCGAACACCTGAAGGATCCCGCCCACACAAACGAGGAGGCTCTCATACTACTCACGCGCATAGTTAATCACCTGCTTGGAACACTCCAGACCCAGGAGGTCCGCGACATGCTACTCCCATCACGCCTCATCGCCCTAGAAAAGCCAGGGGGCGGGGTACGACCTATAGCCATTGGCGAGACCATACTCAGAATAGTGGCAAAAGCGGCGCTACGCGAATTAGCACCGAACATAAGAGAGTTTTTCCTACCTGTGCAATACGGAGTGGGAGTCACGGGCGGAGCCGAATGTGTCATCCACACCGTCAGATCGCTCATGCGGGACGATAGCAAATGCATCGCACTGCAGCTAGACATCGAGAATGCCTTCAATAGCGTAGAGCGTTCCGCCTTCTTCACTGCACTCTCCCGGTCCAACCTGCAGCCGCTCATACCCCTCGTCCGCACGCTCTATGACGGACCCTCCCGCCTGCTCGTCGACACACGCTTCAACGCAGATCACATAGCGAGCACTAGGGGGGTGCGACAAGGAGACCCACTGGGCCCACTACTCTTTGCCGCGGCCATCCAACCTACCCTACTCACGGCGGCCACACTCCTCCCAAAGGTGGCGGTTGTGGCCTACGCAGATGATATCACGATCGTAGGCCCACAGGAGGCGGCGTTCTTAGCGTTCGACTCCATCACCCGCGGTCTAGCATCATGCGGGCTGAAGTGCAACATTGGGAAATCCTCAGCATGGACACCCAACGGGATAGAAGCCCAGGATGGAACGCCTCCAGAGGGGTTAGAGCTAAGCAGAGAAGGCATCCTGGTGCTGGGCAGCCCCATCGGTACAGAGGAATTCTGCACAAACCAAGTTGTCGCGAAGCTCACTGATACCTCCGCACCACTCCCCTTAGTCGCCCAGATGCACCCTCAACACGCCCTGCTCATCATCTCGCGAAGCATCAGCAGGAGGGTGTCCTACCTGCTACGCACCACACCATCACAAGCACTGCCGAGAGAGAGCTGGAGGGGATGGAGCGAAACCTTGCTGGAAGCGGCGCTCACCTCGGCTAAACTACGGATGCCGAGGTGTGAGCTCGAACAGAGTTTGCTCTGGCGACAGGCAACACTCCCAATACGGCTTGGGGGGCTGGGCATTGTGGACCCAACCTCGGAGGCACCGGCAGCACACATTGCATCAATCACAGCGGCGCAACAGCTGCTGCAGCAGATGAACATTGAGAAAGAGCACCTACTGAGCCGGGCAACAACACTGCTCTCTCACACTTGGAACCCGGAGCCCCCCATAAGCAACCAGCTGACGGCACTGGAGGAGGAGCTCCCTGCAAGTGCGCGAGCAGCCCTGCATGCCTTCAGAGAACGCCCACCAGGTGCAGGCAACCTGCAGCTGCTCCTATCCAGGCACATCTGGGAGACTAAGGCAAGGGAGCTCGTGGCTGACACAATGATGGATAGGCCGCGGAAAGACAACGGGCACGCAGTGAGACTCATCGGCCTGCAGGGAATAGGGGCAGGAGATTGGTTGGACGCGGTGCCAACGAGGGCTGACCTTACATTATCCCCTGGTCAGCTCTCGATGGCGTTGGGCTTCCGTCTAGGCATGCAGCTGCCGGTTACAGTAAAGTGCCCTTGCAAGCGGAAAAACTCGGACATCAGTGACACCTCGCTCCCGAATCACCTACTTAGATGTGCGGATGGAGGGGACATGGTTAGGACACATGATGCACTGGTGTATGCAGCACTCCGGATGGCGAGGCAGGTTTCTCGACCTTCCACGAAACCACCACCTTCTCCCCCCCCGTGCTACGTAAGAGGGCGGATTTAGTAATCCAGGACCAGGAATCGGGTGAAACCTTTGTCACGGACGTGACCGTGACCGACCCAGTCCTACAGAGGCGCGACACCAGAGCACGGAAGCCGCCAGGGTGGGCGGCCAAGGAAGCCTCCGAGAGCAAGCATAGGCTCTACGAGGGTCTCCCAGACTGTGTGGGGTTTTTTGGTTTGGCGGTAGAGACATACGGGGCCCTGGCAGCAGATACGGTGCAGTTTTTGCGGCTGCTAGCAACCTCGGCAGCAAAGAAGAAGTATCGCCAAGGCAAACTAACTACCACAGCTGCGCGGCTCACAGCTCACTACAGACAGCGGTGGTCCATAATGCTCCTGCGTAGCCAGGCAGTGTCCTTCCTTTCCAAGTCAAACCGAGCTGCTGAGGCGGCCTTCCCTCAGGGACCCACGGATCCATGGGAGCCTAGCTTAGGCGACCTCTGGCAGGTGCTAGAGGATGAGATGGAGGGGGTACTGGGAGAGTAGGGCAGCACGGGCTGGTCAGGAGGGCAGCTGAACAGGAAGGACAAGGGTTAAGGCTGCAAGGAGAGCAGGGAACAGGAGATGGAGTGACTTGAGGGTACCGGGTCTGGTTTGTTGCAGGAAGCACTCACATGCACCTATCTTGCAGGGCCATGAATGCAGGCATAACTAGGGTAGACAATGGCCTCGTCTCTACTAATGCCATGTTTGTACTTTTCTGATCCTATCAATGAAGGACTGCTTGAGAGAGAGAGAGAGAGAGAGAGAGAGAGAGAGAGAGAGAGAGAGAGAGAGAGAGAGAGAGAGAGAGAGAGAGAGTGATGTGACGGTAACGGACCCTATTAGTACCAGGGACCCGGAGGCTAGGAAAGGAAGGGGATGGGCGGCCAGGGAGCAGGCGGATAAAAAGATCAAGCACTATGAAAACCTGCCAGAGACAGTGGGCTTCTTCCCCCTCGCCGTAGAGACCTATGGCTGCCCTTGTGCGGAGGTCCCTGTGTTCCTGAAACTCCTTGCGGACACGGCGGCTCGGCGATACTTCAACGCCGACTCCAAATCCTATCATGCCGCGAAGTTTCTGCACCAGTTCAGGCAGAGGTGGTCGGTTGCACTGCAGAGGGCCCAATCCGTGGGTCTCATGATCAAGTTAGGAGAGGCGGCGGCTGCAGAGAACCCGCGTGTAGGAGGGATAGGGCAGGAATTGTACCTTGGGGACTGTTTTACCGTCCTAGAGCCTCTTCTTGAGCTCTAGGTGACTTAGTGGGGTTGGATAGTCTAGGTTACCTTGCGTGTTAGTACCGGCTGTCTCTCACTGCATGTGTGTACCCTTCTGGCTTATCAATATACGGACCATTAGAGAGAGAGAGAGAGAGAGAGAGAGAGAGAGAGAGAGAGAGAGAGAGAGAGAGAGAGAGAGAGAGAGAGATGGCATAGTCCTAGTCCTTAGCCATTTCTAGGTCTGTTTCCTTAGTATAAAGGCCTTGGATCTAGGCTAGTGAGCTCATTATTCATCGGTGAGTTCAGGTTCACTCCCCAAATCCGGGGTAGTGAGCATTAAGCCGGTAGTTTGTGGCTGGAATTTTTCGCCCGTTCGAAAGAGAGCAAGAGAGAGAGAGAGAGAGAGAGAGAGAGAGAGAGAGAGAGAGAGAGAGAGAGAGAGAGAGAGAGAGAGAGAGAGAGAGAGAGCATTTGATACAACATGCAGTGGTAGAGCCCTGCAGCAAAAGCAAAACCCCCGGGCGTGCCTGCACCGCCATGGGGAAGCCCAAGGCTAAGCCAGCTACCAAGGGGGAGGGCAAAGGGGACAAACCGGCTACTCGGAGAGTATCCAGCACAGCCTCCCGTCCATCCAACGTAGGACGGATGCGGCTGCTGATATAAGACCAAGAGGGGCCCCATGAGCAGACTCAGCAAGCCGCAACATTGCCCCAGGGCCGGGCCTGAGCGCAGCCCCAGGAGCGCCCTGGACAAGCCCGATCAGGGAGAGATAATGTAGCATCTCCCTTGCTGCGGACACCGCCGCTGACTGCTCCGATGGCATCAGCCCCCCAACCTCCACACCCTGCCGCGCCAGACACACGTGGAGTTGGTCCAACACGTAGGACAGTAGCGTCAAACACGTCCCCACGTGCATTACGCGCCGCTCGACGTGGAAAGGAGTCGCAGCCACACGAGCAGCAACGTGAGGAGCTGGTGGGACGGGTGGAAATAACAGCACCTCGGGAGGCGGCGGGGGAACAGGAGCCGGTGGAGGGCGAGGCGGCTGCGGCCGCGGCGGCAGGGGGAAGTGGCGCAATGGGGACTGAGTCAGAGGCGGCTGTGACGGTTGAGGCGGCGGCGGCTGCGGGGCTGGAGGGGGTTGCTGCTGAGGCGACTGAGATGGTGGCTGCTGCTGAGCTTGGCGGGCCTGACGCTGCCTCTGGCGGCGGCTCAGCCTCACCCTCTGCCATCCCCCAGGCGTGGCAACCGGAGGAGCCGGGACCACCAGTGGCTCAGGAACGGACCGAGGCGGTGGAGCTGGTGGCGCCACCGGAAAATGTAACGGCGCCTGTGCTGGCTGCGGCGGTGGCAGCGGCGTCAGGGGAACAGGGCGGAGCCCGGACCGAGGAGGGTGCGCCGGTCGCCGGTGCGAATGCCGAAGCCTCTGCTGCTACTGAGGGCGCAAGCACGCAGGGACACGACCTGGGGGGGAGCGGTAGACAGGGTCGCGGAGCTGGCGGGACTGCCGGCGCCGGCCGCGGGAAGACGACGCTTCGAGCCCAGCCAGCACCGAGGCGGCCCGGAGCAGGGCTAAGACTTGGTCCCCCGGGACCCCTCCTGGGCTGGCTTTTGCAAGGGCAGTTGCCACAAGGGCAAGAGCGTCACTTGCCATCTGTGGGGACAAGCGACGGGAGAAGGGAAGCAAGAGATGGGATCAGGCTAGCACCAACACCGATCATCACGACAGGGAACGCAGTGGCGGGACCATCAATGCAACAGCCACCGCGTCGGGATTCGCGGAACTCGACGGGGGGAGAGGAGAGAACAACCACGGCTACCGCCACGGCTCAACAGACCCCACGGCGTGAAACCCGCAGCGCTACGAGGGCGCAAGGCATCACCTGGGGCCAGCCAAGGACTGGCCAGGCAACGCCGATGCTAGCGCCGTGGATCCCGGCGGGAAGACCACAGCAGGCAGGCCAAGGCGAGCAGAACGCCGGCCCTAGGGGGGGAGAAACGGCTCGCGGAGCAAGGGGAGGAGTGCGAGGGGCCAGAGGGGGACAGGGCGGAAGAGGCCCAATTGTCGGCGGAAGGGTCGCGCCCGTGAGAATGGGAACGTGGCGGGAACGCCACGAGCGACCGGAGCAAGCGGAGCCTGCAACAAATCACGATGAAGAAGATGATGCAAACATCGATGAGGGGGGCGATTATGTAGCTGAATCAGCGGAGCCATCAGAGGAAATCTTGTTGGAGGACGAGGAGGGAGTACACAGAGAGAGAAGAGCTGGGGAGCGAAGGAGAACCCAGAAGAATGGGGTAAACCCTCAGGGCGATAACCCTCAGGGTACGAGAATTGGGAACGAGGAAGCGCCAGGAGTAAGGGGAAACCCTTAGGTGGTGGGAGAAAATGGGAACGCACCCAACGAGGGACAGAGTGACTCTGGGGTCAGATCACCGTCTGACCTGGCGGATGACCCTGCCATCTGGGAGCTGGCAGCCACGTGGGATAAATACCCACTCCAAAAAGGGGATCAACCCTTCGTGGTCCGCAAAATGCCGCCCAAGATCCTGGAAATCTACACGCTCTGTCTCCTGGCGCCCCTCATTCGACTCTCGAAGAATCCTAACTGCCCAGGTGCATGGGCAATCCTGCAGTATCTGCCGAGGCTGACGCTACGCCCGGCCTCTGAGCCTGTTGAAGGCAGCCGGTGGACAGCAATAGAGCTGCGCCTGCACCAGTTCCAACTCGGTAGCTGGCAGGCCCTCTACACCGACGCATGTGTTATCCCCGACAATGAGAGCCCGACACGACACCAACCGGACGACGCAGGTTTATGCGCAAGGGCGGAAGGGTTGATACGGAAAGGAAACATTTCCAAGGCGGTAGCAGCGTTACGAACTACACCGCTCGCAGAAGCAACGGCAGCAACTTTGACTGCCCTCCAAGCGAAACACCCCGCAGCCAAAACTTCGCTACCAGGTCTGGTTACAGGGTTCAACTGCTTGACACTCAGCGTGTCAGCGGACGAACTTCGCGAAATCCTGAAGAAATGCCCGAACGGGGTTGGAGCAGGCCCATCTGGCACCTGCTTCGAACACCTCAAGGATCCGGCACTGGCAAACGGGGAGGTGCTTATTCGACTTGCTAAGGTAGTGACGTACCTGCTGAGCACGTTCCAAACACAAGCGACCCGCGATTTGCTGCTGCCTTCACGGTTGATCGCCCTAGAAAAGCCAAGAGGAGGAGTCCGGCCCATTGCGATAGGGGAGGCTATCCTTCGAGTCGTAGCTAAGGCGGCATTGCGTGGTTCAACCGAGAACATTAAGGAGTTTTTCCTACCAGTCCAGTTTGGGGTAGCGATACCGAGAGGCGCAGAGTGTATCGTCCACTCCGACAGATCGCTACTAAGGGACGATGACACACGAGTAGCGCTGCAGCTGGACATAGAAAACGCCTTCAACAGTGTCGAACGGGCGGCTTTCTTCAACACTCTCTCCCAGTCCAGTTTGCTGCAGCTCATGCCCCTGGCCCGAACTCTCTACGGGGCACCGTCGTCACTCTTGGTTGACGAACGTCTAGGAGTGAACCATATCCTCTCGTCACGCGGGGTGCGTCAAGGGGACCCGCTCGGTCCACTACTCTTCGCGGCAGCAATTCAACCATGCCTGCTGAGCATGGCGACCTTCTTACCAGAAGTCGCGATAGTGGCCTACGCCGACGACATAACGATAGTGGGGCCGAAGGAGGCCTGCTATGAGGCTTTTGGGGCCATTACCAGGGAGCTGGCTACGCTCGGCCTCCGTTGCATCATCGCAAAATCGTCGGCATGGGGACGATCGCTAGCGGATGACGGCGGCACGCCACCTCCCATCGGCCTGCAGCAGATCACAGATGGGATCCGGGTTCTAGGCAGCCCAGTCGGCTTGCCTGCCTTCTGCACCATCCAAGCACAAACACGGCTTGATGAGGCATCGGCCCCGTTACCTCTGGTGGCGCAGCTCCACCCGCAGAGCGCAATGCTCATCCTCACGAGGAGCATATCCCGCCGAATCTCCTACTTTCTGCGGACGACACCGGCGAGAGAGAAGTAGAGGGGCTGGAGTGAGACCCTGATGGCAACGGCACTAGCAGCAGCGAAGCTTCGAGTACCTTTAGACGAGCTGGAGAGGAGTCTGTTGTGGCGTCAGGGGAGTCTGCCGGTCAGGTTGGGAGGCTTGGGGATTATTGACCCAGTCTCCGAGGCACCTGCGGCCTATATCGCCTCGGTCACGGCGGCGCAGCACTTGCTGCGCCAGATGAACCTGCCTGAGGCCTATCTCCTGAGCAGGGCGGTCGAGCTGTTGTGCCACGAGTGGACCCCTCTCCCACCCGGCATCAACCCCCTGACAACTCTGGAAGCTGGGCTACCCATAGCTGCACGGGCGGCACTACACACTTACAGGGAGCAGCCGGCGGGACAGGGGAACCTTCAACTGACCCTGTCTCGCCACATCAATGAGACGAGGGCGGCGGAGCTGCTGGCTGACACAATAGAAGACCGCCCAGGGAAGGACCGTGGGCACGCAGTACGGCTCATCAGCTTGCAAGGGATGGGCGCGGGGGACTTGCTCCATGCCGTCCCAACGAGATCTGACCTTACTTTCTCCCCTGGTCAGTTCTCGTTGGCACTTGGCTTTCGCCTCGGAATGGCTCTTCCAGTCACAGTCACCTGCCCGTGCAAGCGCGCCAACACTGCAATCACGGACACGAGCCTGGCAAAACACCTCTTGCGGTGTGGGTACGGGGGAGATGTCGTCCGCACACACGACGCTCTAGTGTTTACTCTGCTCCGGATGGCAAAGGAGGCCGACTTCACGGTTTTCCACAAAACCACGGCCTTTTCCCCACCGGTGCTGAGGAAGAGAGGAGACCTTGCTATTCGGGACAAGGAGTCAAATGAGACTTGGGTCACAGACGTGACAGTGACCGGCCCAGTGCTGCAGTGCCGTGACAAGCGCGCCCGGAAGCCACCTGGATGGGCGGCAAGAGAAGCTTCAGAGAGGAAACACAGGATCTATGAGGGGCGGCCTGACTACGTGGGTTTCTTCGGGTTGGCAGTGGAAACATACGGTGCCCTAGCTATGGATACACATCAGTTCATCCGCTTGTTAGCAACCTCGACGGCGAAGACAAGGTTCCGCCAGGGGAGGCTCACCACCACCCTTGCTCGGCTCATCGCTCACTACAGGCAGCGCTTCAGCGTCATGCTCCAGCGCTCACAGGCCTCGTCATTCCTGAACAAGTCGAACATAGGGGACGTGGCAGCCTTCTCACAGGCGGCCAGGGACCCCTGGGAACCTAGCCTAGGGGATCTCTGGCAAGTCCTGGAGGATGAGATGGACGGGGTGATGGGTTAGTGAGCGGGATAGCAACTGCATGTGTGACTAGCTCAGTGTTAGCCAAATGCATTTCCGGCTCCTGCCTTGTTGGCTTGCCCTACCTTGCCTTGCTTGCCTTGCTCGGGTTGGCCTTGCCTTGTGTGCCTGTTCTGTATGTTTTGCATCCCCTCCCTTGCCCTCAAGGTCCTGACCTATTGGCAGAGGACTTGCTTGCCTGGCCACCCGTGGTGCCTACCTCAGCCCTGCCAAGCAGTACCGGCTGCTCTTAGTACTAGGGATGTTCTGCACCTGTTCTTGCCATGCCTGTACCCCTATGAACCTATCAACGAAGGACTGCTTGAGAGAGAGAGAGAGAGAGAGAGAGAGAGAGAGAGAGAGAGAGAGAGAGAGAGAGAGAGAAAGAGAGAGAGAGAGAGAGGCCCTAGGAGCTAGTCCTTAGCCTCTCCAGCACTCTTCAGCCTAGTATAAAGTGCTCCTCTGCAGCTAGCGCTCTTCATTGTTCGGTTCTCTTTCATTTGTTTCTCCTAACCGAGCGGGAGAGAGAGGAGAGAGAGAGAGAGAGAGGCCCTAGGAGCTAGTCCTTAGCCTCTCCAGCACTCTTCAGCCTAGTATAAAGTGCTCCTCTGCAGCTAGCGCTCTTCATTGTTCGGTTCTCTTTCATTTGTTTCTCCTAACCGAGCGGTAACAATGAAGAGCAGCAACACATGACTTTCACCAGCTGCCAATACATCATGTGTCACTAGCTAAACAAATCACAAACAACACCCCCAGGCGAGGGAATTCCGCCATGGGGAAGCCCAAGGCCCAGCACCACCGGAGCCTGCAAGGGAAAAACAACAGTCACTTGGCGAGGATCCAGCACAACCTCCCGTCTATCCAATGAAGGACGGAAGCGGCAGCTGACACAAGTCCGAGTGGGCCCTCCCGGGCAGACTCGGCTAGCCTCACCACTACCCGGGGTCCGGGCCCGAGCGCTGCACCAGGGGCGTCTGGCACGAGGCCGATCAAAGGAAGATAGTGCAGCATCTCCGTCGCCGCTGCCACCGCCGCAGAGCGTTCAGCGGGCAACATCCCGCCAACCTCCAAGCCTTTCCGCGCCAAACACACGTGGAGCTGGTCTAGTATGTATGACATCAGCGTCAAACACGTCCCCACGTGCACAACGCGCTGCTCGACGAGGGGAGGTAGCGCGCCTGCAGAAGCCGCACCAAGGGGAGCAGGCAGGACAGGAGGGATTGGAGGCACAGGAGGAGCCGGCGGCTGATGCAGTCGAGGCTGGGGTAGAGGAAACTAATTTACGGGGGGATGTCGCTGCTGCGGGGCCAGATTTGACGTGGCGGGGGGAGCAGGGTGTTGTGGCAGAGGCGGATTCGACGGGAATGGGGCGGGAGGCGCACTCACTTGCTGCTGCTGTGCCTGCAGCCGCCTCTGACGGCGACTCAATCGCGCCCGCCGCGGCGCAGACTGCGGGGCCGACAACACCACCAGTGCACGGGGTTGCGGCTGCGGAGGAGGCGTAGGTGGAGCAGGGGTCGGATGATTCGCTGGCGCCACTGGTGGCGTTGTCCTTGTCACCTCTCGGGGAAATGGAGATTGCGGCAGTTGTAGCTGAGGTAGCGAGGCAACCAGTACAACCCCTGAACGAACCATCTGCGCCGACTGCCGCTGAGTCCGCCAGAATGTCTGCTGCTGCTGTGACCGTCAACATGTGGGGGCGCGGCCAGGCGGCGGACGGAACTGGGCGTCCCGTGACCGGCGCCGCTTCTGGCGCCGCACCGTAAAGGAGTAAGGTGAAGCTGCGCGCCCAGCCAGCGCCGAGGCGGCCCGGAGCAGGGCTGGGACCTGGGGCCCCGGGACCCCTCCTGGGCTGGCTTCGGCAAGGGCAATCGCCACCAGAGCAAGCGCGTTTCTCGTCATCCGCACCACAGCCTACAATGGGACCCGGCGGGAGGGGCAACACGGAGGTGGCTGACCGTGCGCATCGGGGAACCGAGCAGCCAAGAAGGATGCAGCAACCAACGGAAGGATCACCCACGACCCAGCAAGCAACTCACTGGGAAACACGGAGCTCGACGAGAGGTTGGGGAATTGTGTGGGGCAGGCCGTCGGGGGCAGGACGAGCGACAATGGCGACCCCCTGGATGTCGGCTGGTCAGGGTTTAAGGTCTGCGCAAGAGAGCGCGGGAGGCGGCGGTGCAGGCGTAACCTCCGCAGTCCCACGTGGAGGCAGAGGGGGAAGAGGAGGGGAACGCGGGAGGGGAGTTCCACTCCTGGGTGGCGAGGCTGCAATCGTGAGATCTGGCACATGGCGTGACCGCCACGACCATCCGTAGCGTGTACCTACGGCGAGGAGGTTTCTGGAAACTCCCAAAACGGGAGCGATTTTATCCCCTCGCACTTAGAGGCATCGGAGGAGGTCTCCCTGGGCGACGATGAGAACCAGCATCTGTTGGCGCAGAGGCGAGTGAGGAGGACGGAGCAGGGTGGCATACCACAACCACCCGACGTGCCTGCAGGACAGGCCCCAGCTGTGCCACCACAGCCATCCGAGAAATTGCCAGCTGACCTGGCCAAGGATGAGTCTATCTGGCGCCTGGCCAGCACTTGGGATATCGCGCCACTCCAGCGTACGGATCAACCGTTCCTGGTGAGGCGGTTGCCCCCAAAGATTCTGGAGAGCTACATGCTGTGCCTTCTGGCCCCACTGTTGCCATTGGCCGAGAAACTAGACTGTGTGGGGGCGTGGACGGTGCTACAGTTTTTATCCTGCCTGACCCTTCGACCTCTACCAGAGCCGGTGGAGGGGAGCCGCTGGATCAAGATCGAGAATCGGCTGCACCACTTCAGGATTGGGGATCTTGCCGATCTCTACAGTGAGGCATGGGCGATCCTTGATACTGGAGCCCCGTCACGACACCAGCCAGATGAGGCAGGCCTGTGCACGCGAGCAGAGGGTTTGATAAAAAGGCCAACATTTTCAAGGCAGGATCTGCGTTACAAGTAACCCCGCTGGTGGAACCAACACCTGCTACACTTGCTGCTTTACAGGCAAAACACCCTGACGGAGAATTACCCATTCCGAGCTGGGTAACCAACCGCACCGGTGTACCTGCCTCGTCATTGAATCTGGCCCCAGGCGATCTCCGCGAAGTGCTGGCGAAGTGCCCGAATGGAGTTGGAGCGGGCCCCTCTGGCACTTGTTTCGAGCACTTGAAGGACCCGGCCCACAGCAGCGAGCAAGTCCTACTGCTCCTCACAAAGGTCATAGCACAGCTACTCAACAGTGCACAGACAAGAGAGATACGCGACGTGCTCCTCCCGTCACGGCTGATAGCACTCGAGAAGCCGGGGGGGGGGGGGGGGGGCGTAAGACCCATCGCTATAGGCGAGGCCTTGCTTAGAGTGGTGGCGAAGGCGGCGCTACGCGAGCTAGCCCCAGCGATCTGTGAATTCTTTCTCCCGGTCCAGTATGGCGTGTCAGTGCCTGGTGGGGCCGAATGCGTCATTCATACCGTGTGGGCCCTGCTCTGTGAACATGACAACTATGTCGCGCTCCAGCTGGACGTAGAAAACGCGTTTAATTCGGTTGAGTGGGAGGCGTTCTTCACGGCGCTAGAAATCTCGGACTTGCACCAGCTGCTGCCGTTTGTTGGGCTGCTGTACGACTCGCCGTCGCGTCTTTTAGTTGACCCGGCCCTAGGAGTTGAGCACATCATGAGCTCCCGCGGCGTGCGTCAGGGCGATCCCCTCGGCCCTCTCCTCTTTGCAGCAGCGATTCAACCGGCCCTAACATGCGTGGCATCTTCTCACCCAAGGGCGGCGGTCATAGCGTATGCTGACAACATCACCGTGGTAGGACCACGGGAGGAGGTGTTCAAGGCCTTCGACGCCATCGTCGAAGAGGTGGCAAAGCGCGGACTACGGTGCAACGTGGCAAAGTCATCGGCATGGGGACCGCGAGAGGGGAACGAGGGGCAGCCGGGACCGCCGCGGGGTTTGCGGATGAGCATGGGGGGGATCAAGGTGCTTGGCAGCCCCACCGGCACTCCGGAGTACTACACTGCTGAGATCCGGCAGGCGCTCGCCAAAGCATCGGCGCCTGTCCCCCTTATCGCGCAGCTGCACCCACAACACGCCCTGCTACTCCTCTCCCGCAGCATCTCCCGCAGGATCTCCAACCTGCTTCGCACCACACCAAGCACCACGCTGGACCGAGAGGAGTGGAGAGGGTGGAGCAAGTCCTTGGTAGGGGCGGCGCTCACTGCTTCCAAGCTACGGATCCCGGCCAGTGAGCTGGAACAGAGCCTCTTGTGGCGACAAGCGACCCTGCCCATCGCCTCGGGGGACAGAGCATCATTGATCCTGTTTTTGAGGCACCGGCAGCGTATATTGCATCCCTAATAGCAGCGCACCACCTGCTACAGCAGATGAACTTGCGGGAGCAGGAGCTGTTGGCACGGGCCGAGATGCTGCTGTCCAGAGAATGGGTCCCCCCACCCCCTGCATCAAACTATCTGGTGGTACTAGAGGAGGGGCTGCCGACAGAGGCACGGACAGCACTACAGACCTACCGGGAGGGCCCCCAGGGGCAAGGTAGCCTGCAGTTCCTCTTGTCCAAGCACATCAACGCGGTAAGGGCCAGAGAGCTGCTAGTCGACTCTGTGGTTGACAGACCGGGGGAAGACCAGGGGCACGGGGTCCGGCTAGTGAGCTTGAGGGGAATGGGGGCCGGGGATTGGCTACACGCAGTACCGACGAGATCTGACCTTACATTTGCCCCTGGTTAGTTCTCGTTGGCACTTGGGTTCCGCCTCGGGATGGCCCTACCAGTCACGGTCAAGTGTCCCTGCAAACACAACAACTCGGAAATCAAGGATACTAGTCTGGCGAATCACCTGCTCCGGTGTGGGGAAGGGGGAGATGTGGTGAGGACGCATAACGCCCTGGTCTACACGACTTTGAGATTGGCGAGGGAGGCGGGCTTCAACTCCTTCCATGAGACATCGGTGTTCTCCCCCCCGGTCCACCGCAAGAGGGCAGACATGGCGTTCCAGGATAGGGAATCAGCGGAGACCTGGGTCACGGATGTAACGGTGACTGACCCAGTGTTGCAGAAGCGGGACCCCAGGGTGGGCTGCCAAGGAAGCTTCCGAGAGGAAGCACCGCCTGTATGACGGCCGCCCTGACTATGTGGGCTGTTTCGGCCTGGCAGCTGAGACCTATGGGGCGCTAGCGACTGATACTGTGCAGTTTCTTAGGCTGTTAGCGGTAGCCACAGCAAGGAAGAAATTCAGGCAGGGGCCGCTCACCACCACCGCCTCTCGCCTCAATGCACACTACCGCTAACGCTGGTCAGTCATGTTGCAGAGATCCCAGACGATCTCGTTCCTAAACAAGAGCAACATGGCAGCCGAGGCGGCCTTCCCCCAAGCACCTGCGGACCCCTGGGAGCTGAGCCTAGAGGACCTCTGGTAGGTGCTTGATGATGACCTTGCAGGAGTGTAAGCACAGCCGGGGGTGAACCAGGGTTGTAGGGTTGAACAGAAGGTTGGGGGGACCTAGGCAACTCAACTGGTAGCGCCAGGCCGCCTTGGCAGTAGCCACTTGGTGAATTTCCTTAGCATCTTATGCTGGTGCCGCAAGCTCACTCCCGCCACCTCCTCCAATTTCTCGCTAAAGCTGCAGGTGCAGGCCTACGGCAACGCAACAGGTCGAGCGGCGGGAGGGGTGGCAGTTAGCGTGCAAGCCCATGGCCGACACCCCTTTTGTCCCTCTCCCCCCCCCCCCCCTACTGATCACCACCCCCACCACTACCCCCCCACCAACCGCCACCCCTTCCACCTCCCCCCAATTAAAAAATTAGGAGCAACTTAGGGGGCTAGGGATGTGAGAATCATAAGCATAGTGAGGAGCCATAGCTAGGGTTTAGCTAGCTAGGCAAGAGAGAAATGAAGAAAGGAGGGGTTTCACTAGCATCAGTTGGGATACATATAGCAAACCCTAACAGGGTTGTACTCGCTATAGAGCACCCCACTACAGGCTAGATAATAACATTCTGACACACCCCCATAGCCAAAATGGGGTGTAATCAACAAAGCACGCAGTCATAGAGCAGGTTCACAAATGTAAGCAAAGATAGAGGCTATCACAGAGGGCAAGTGAGGAGGAGGAGGAACTGTGGAAGGAGAGAAGATGGGAGGCAACGACTGAAGCTGCAGAGGCATGGGCACAGGAGCGGCTGACTCAGTGGCTACCAAAGCAAGGGCAACGGACTACGGGAGTGACTGACTCAGCGGCTAAGACGAGCAGCAGGAGCAACGGACCCACTGGCGACTGGTGCAACAGGCTCACTGGCTACCGAAGCAAGGGCGACGGACTACAGGCGACACGACAGCTACCTCCACACAACCTCCTCCAACTGACCCACACCCTTGACACACACCCCCTGCTGAACCCCTAACTCCACTCCCACGTCACCCCCCTAGCACCACTCCTTCGGCTCCCATACACCCACCCCCCTGAGCAGCAGCTACAGTAGCGGGAGATGGAGGAGGAGGAGAAGTAGTGGAACGGCGCACAGAAACTGCACCCCCATACCCCCCACCCCCAAACCCTAATTCAGGAGAATGGGCAGCAGCAAGGGTGGGGCACCGTCAGAAGCACGCGGGACAGCGAGCAGCTCAGGGGCAGAGAGGAACGGGCCGCCCACGGGCCTGGCACAGCCCGATGAACCGCGCGCAGGCGGCCCAAGCCCCGCGCGGGCGTGTCGCAGCCCGTACGGGCCGGGCGCAGCCCATACGGGCCGCGCTCGGGGCTAGCGCAGCCCGCGCTGGTTGGGATGGGCGACGGGGGACGACGGGCTGGTCCCCGTCGCCCGTCGAAGCGCCCCCCCCGGGGGCGACGCGCGGACCGACGAGGTAGAAGGCCGCCGCGCGCCCCGGGGCGCATGGCGGGCAGAGAACCGCAGCACGCCCCGGGGCGCACGGCGGGTAGAAAACCGCCGCGCGCCTCGGGGCGCACGGCGGGCAAAAAACCGCCGCACGCTCCGAGCGCGCGGCGGGAAGAAAAATCCGTCGCACGCCACGGGGCGTGCAACACACAGAGTAGCAGCGGAAGCAGTTAGGTGGGCCCACAGGCCAGGAGCGTAGATGCTCTGATAGCACGTGAGAATCATAAGCATAGTGAGGAGCCATAGCTAGGGTTTAGCTAGCTAGGCAAGAGAGAAATGAAGAAAGGAGGGGTTTTACTAGCAGCAGTTGGGATACATATAGCAAACCCTGATTGGGTTGTACTCGCTATAGAGCACC